ATAGAAAAAGTGATTACAAATACAAAACAGGTTGAGCAGAGTAAGTAAAGAAAAGCATAGTGAGAAAAAAAGTGTGGTCAGTTTGTCCTCCAGCAGTCTAAGCCTATAGCAGCATAACTAAGGGACAGCTCAGGAAATCCAAGCCGACCCTAACTATAGGATTTATCAAAAAGGAAAGTCTTAATCCCAGTCTTAAACTGGACAATGTGTCAGCCTCACAGACAGAAACTGGAAGTTGGTTCCACAAGAGAGGAGCCTGATAACTGAAGGATCTGCCTCCCATTCTGCTTTTGGAAACTCTAGGAACCACGAATAAACCTGCAATTTGAGAATGAAGTGCTCTGTTGGGAAAATATGGAGCAATAAGATCTGTAATATAAGATGGAGCTAGGTTGTTGAGAGCTTTGTAGGTTAGAAGTAAGATTTTGAATTCTATTCTGGATTTGGCAGGGAGCCAATGGAGAGAAACTAAAACTGGAGTTTTAGTTACTCTCCCAGTAACTCCAGTTAAGACTCTGGCAGCAGCATTTTGGATCAACTGAAGACGTTTTAAAGAAGTATTTGGACACCCAGATATTAAACCATTGCAATAGTCCAGTCTAGACGTGACAAATACATGAACCAGTTTTTCTGCATCATCTTTAGATCAGATGTTTCTAATGTTAGTGATATTACGCAGGTGGAAGAAGGAGGTTCTAGTAACGTTTTTAATGTGGGGGATAAAAGACATGTCCTGATCAAAAATAACACCAAGATTTTTAACATTAGAGCTGAAGGACAGATTAATGCATCTAAGGAGGGAGAAAGACTGAAACATTCTTACCTAAGATGCTGTGTGTCTGCGTTCAAAAGCAGAAAATTAAGGGTTATCCAGGTTTTTATGTGTTTAAGACATGCTTTTAGTCTAAGTAACTGACTGGATTCATCTGGTTTCACGGACAAATATAACTGTGTATCATCAGCATAAGAATGAAAATTTATCCCATGCTGTTTAATAACATTACCTAATGGACGCACATATAAAGTAAAGAGTATTGTTCCAAGCAGTGAGCCCTGGGGAACTCCATGACTAACTTTGGTGTATGAAAAATATTAATTATTTATACAGTATTTACACAGTGGACTCTATAAGATAAATATTATTTAAACTATTTTATTGGTTTAAACCAGACAAGACAAATACAATATTAGAAGCTGTTTTCTAGCCCAACTATAGCACAACCACCACAAATCATCATTTTATGACTGTTAGATATTATTTTTAGTTTCTATTGTTTTATTAACCGAACAACACTACAGCCATGTGTTGAAACCATGTCAGAGAAGTGATGCTTGCATTTTCAGTTTTATCAGATTTGGACTTTTCATAAAACTTATAATGGCAAAATGAAATGTAATTTATTTTAAAATCTTAAATTTTTATGTGAAACTGACCACAAATTGTGTCAAGGTGTCCAGTTTAATTTAATTATTATGTTTGTGTAATTAAGCAACACTGTAGACCCTTGGCAGATATTTCAGGACAAGAAAAACACAGAAAATCAGATTTTAAACACTACAAACTAAAAAAATAAAGGGGAAATGCTTGTTCAATGTGTTCCAGCAAGCTGTCTTAAATTAGTCATGATGGTTGTGTTGCTCAGATTCATTTATTGATTTCAGATCAGGGCAGCTTTAAGTGATGGGTGTTTTTGGAGGAGTTGACTAGAAGAAGTTTACAACCAGTGACTTTTCCCAGCGATGGCCACGTAAGGCAATAAATAACAGAGAGCGGAGAACAGGAAGTTGACCAAAAGTCCAACACTCACTGAAGTCGGCTTCAGAAACGCCAACTGGAAATTTACAGCTGCGTGTTGGAATGAAACCACCTGCAACAGATAAACCAGGTGTGGGGAAGTTTTCCCAGCCAGGTCCATCGTATTAATCAACAACAGTAATAAAAATCTCAAATGTTTCACGTATCGGACTAAAGCAGGAAGCTTCTCAAGTTAATTCCAGGAGAGCCAGATCAAAACCATTCGTCCGTCTCTGCAGAGGCGTTCAACCTCCAACAACCAACATATGACTTCTACCTTCTGTGAGCTCTGCCCTGGAACCATTTTAAGTGTTCCCAGTTATCAAAAAATAAATCTCCAGTTGGGCTGCAGATGAGCAACGGACAACCGAAGCTTCTGTTGACTGTGCACGTGTTAAATCAGGCACCAAACCACAAATACATTCACAGCTGCTCCTGGTTTTCAAGGTCAGAGTTCAGCTCTAGTCCTTTACACCTGCATTTTATTGACTTTTATACACAAACATAATTAATAAATTAGTTTTACTGGTGTTTGACGCTGTGGTCAGCGGATGTTGCCGGGTGTCTGAACGACTGCAGATCAGCTGACACTTGGGTAGATAACATCCTGACACTGAGCATGCACATTAACTGTGAGAAGGTCAACTTGCGGACAGTTTTTGGAGGTCATGTGAGAAACAGAGACTGGTCCAAGAACCCCTACACCAATCAGACAGTTAATGCACCCATACCTGTGGGAGTTCCTGTTGGTCACTAGATGCTGCCAAACTACCACACCTGTGAACAATCTCCTTGATGAGGTGCCAAGCATATAAAAGGTTTCTGATGACTTCTCCTCGATGCTGGAGCATTACCTGCCAATGCTCCGTGCTTCAAGCCATTTAGGATCCTTTTGACCTGAGATTACGTACCTGTGTCTTTTGATGTTTCCAGTATACACCTGTTCCTGGACTCCTCTGCCAAACTCCATGTGGCCTCCTCAGTTGTCCTCCTCGTTCTCCTCCGTGAAACCCTGGAAACCTCCTCGTGGTCTACTCAGCTGTTTTCCTTGCCTTCCAACCACACGCCCACCAGAGACAGGACTCTGGACCACTCCTTGTTTGCACAAGATCGTTAGAACCAGTCGTCAAACAACCATTCTGACCTGTAAGAACAAGAGACAATCTGATTTAATCCATTCCTGTCATACTTCATATCTGACCCTTCTCCTTGCTCCTCAGGGTTCCTGACATTACCTGTGTCAATTATCCTCACTGTAAATAAACTTATTAAACCTGACTTCCTGTCTTGGACTTGTTCATGTTCAGTCCTTTCATTCTGGGTACGAGTTCTCGTATTATACCTCTTTTTAACAAAGTATAATTGTTCTGGCAGATCTCCAAACTACTACGTATATTTATTTCTATACACTCAACACACATGGTAGTGTTGTGTAGCGTGCTGCTATACTGCACAACTTTATGCATGAATGTGTGCGACCAAATGTTTGCTCCTAGAAGAGCCAGAAAGTTCACCCACATTCATGATAACAGAAGATACAGCTCATTTTGGATCAGTTGTGTTTCTATGTGCACCATGGTAAACTCTAATTTGAGCTTCAATCAACCTTGTGTCCTCAAAAGACTTTTATGGTTCGCTTGCATTTCCTGTTGCAAAGGACGACCTGTTCTAATCTGTTTTTCTTACCAAGAGGATCTGAAAATGTGTTGAAGGCCCCCAAAATCCCCTGCAGTGAGAAAAGCTGCACACTCAAGGTATAAACATTTAAATATACTGTATTATGAATTTGTTTTAAGAGCCACAAATTAAAAAGTGGGTAAAACGTGGATGTGTGGATGAATCAGTAAATGACTTTGGTCCTAAAATCCTCAAATTCGTTCGTTAGTCCCAGCTGGCTCCCAGCACCGCTGTGGGAAACATGTTTGGTGTTTTTATTTTGTTTTAATTCTCACGTTAAACAAGTCTTTAAGACTATTCATTTATAAGAAGACATTTATTTTAATCAGTGTGGCCAAATTCAAGAAAAGATGATGTGTGCTTCTAAAGCAGGGCTGTTCAACTAAACTGCTCAGGGGGCAGATATCCAGCAGTTATTGGCATTAAGTAAATTTGTTTCATGGTTTAAAATGTAGTTTTATTTAAAAATGAACCTATTGGTGGGCCGAACTGGGTTCATCTGTGGACCTGATTTGGCCCCAGGACCGCCAGTTGAATAAACCATCAACATTCCTTTTTCAATCTGGATTATTTAAGATGTTTTACTCCTAATTGCTTCCTTCTGTCTCAACCAAGACACTTTAATGTTAGCTTCTATTAAATACTATTAAAAAAAATACATTCCTGATCCATGATAAGAAAATCTATTTCCAACATTTAAAATAAAATTTAAAATGTCAAACCAAATTCTGTACACCACCGCCACAGTATCTGTAGATTACTGGTAAAATAATGTAAAACTAAAGACGCATGCATTAATCAATATAAACCAGTAAACAATAATAAGTAATACATTGCCAAGTATAATGTCACCACAATAATAAGACAAATGTCTGAGAGAATGTTCAAATTTAGGTGCAGAGGTTAACTCCAAAATCCTTTTTGTCACGAATTATCTCCGTTTCTAATTTTAAATACATTTTTTTTTAAAAAACAAAGCTTTTATTTTGTCATTACGGTTGGAGGAAGCCAAGTTTTGGGAACTTTTCTTTTTGTTAAAACTAATTCTCATGACTGTTTTTGGTCTTCTGAAGCTCATCCAGCTCTTTTAAACACAGTTCTGGACGTGGATGGCAGGATGATCATTCCTAAAAAGACGTCTGAAGAATTTCTCACCCTGTACAGGAACTACACCGTAGATGAAAGCTTTGCGTGTTTTTAAGTTCTGCCTCTCAGTTGGTTGAGCCCTCTTCTGTAAACCACTCCTCCACAGGACTATAAACTCTTGTCCTCTGCAGGATCATTTGCAGACCCTCTCACGCCGGGCACTTTCTTCTTCTTTTCCTTCGAGTGCTGTGTTTATATTTGCTCCGTATCGTTTGTCGTGGATGGAGGAGTTGTGTCGGAGCTCCACGGTCACTGCAAGGATTAAAAGGGACTGTTGAGTTTGTCAGAAAGGAGCAACAGGAGGAATCTGTTCCTGAGGAGAGAAGGTTGAAGCTCTGAGGAAAGGTTCACCTTCAGCTTCTCCACTGTCCTGACACTGGGAATGATAAACTCGACAATTGACAACTGCCTGACACCAAATAATGCCACATACCAGGTGTTCTCCTGGCTGATGGCTGCAGAGTTCATTCTGGGTCTCCCTCTCAACCTGTCCGTCCTCTTTGTCTTCATCTTCAGGTAAGGAGAAACACTCTCTGAATGTTCATTAGATGAGATGTCAGGAAAACAAACATTCAGATGAAACGTTGGGGATGTTTGAACGAATCTTCACGTGGGATTTTCCTCACATTTAACTCCGAGTCAAACATTTATTGATGTGATTAACTCCACGACCTCTGCGTCTCAGAACTGTTAAAGAAAGTCCAACAACCAGCTCAAAAACAAGAGGAGAGCAGTCCATCCATCCAAAGTTGGGTCTCGGAGGCAGCATCTTGAGCAGCGAGATCCAGCATCTCTCTCCGCAGCCTCTTCCAGCTCTTTGAGGGGACCAAGGTGTTCAGAAAGGAAGAAGCTAAAGATAATGGATGGATTTTCAGCTTCTCTCTGCCTATTTCAGCTCATTTCTGCTCTTTTAAGCTGTTTCTACACCTCCCTGCAATTTTACTGCTGCTAATCTATCTATCTATCTATCTATCTATCTATCTATCTATCTATCTATC